GTGGTATTTATACAAGGAAGCACATGTTTAAAAGGAAGGAGAAGCTTTCAGCCTGGAGGAGAGAAGGCTCTGGGAAGACCTTAGAGCAGCCTTCCAGTACCTAAAGGGGGCCTGCAAGAAGGCTGGAGAGGGGCAGGTAGTGATAGGACAAGCTGGAGGGAAGGTAAGGACAGATATTAGGATGAAATTCTTTACTATAAGGGTGGTGAGGCACTGGAATAGGTTGCCCAGAGAAGCTGTGGATACCTCATCCCTTGAAGTATTCAAGGCCTGGCGAGATAGGACTCTGAGCAACCTGGTCCAGCAGAAGGTGTCCATGCCCATGGCAGGGGGGTTGGAACAAGATGAGTTTTAAGGTCCCTTCCAACCCAAACCACAGTATGATTCTACGAGTGGGAAGTGGGAAGAAATCCTATGAGAATTTCTCTGAATGTGGAAATTCTCCCCCAGCCTGGCACAACCTTGGGATGCAGCCAGACAACAAACTGGCACTGATCTCTTGTCTTCCCAACACAAGTACAGGAGATATGTCTCCCCCTCCCCTTCCAATCCCACGTGCTCAATCTTGCAGGGCTCTCCAGAGCCTGGTTCAATACACCACACTGGTATAAAAAAAGGGGGAAAAAGAGACTTTCTGCTGAGCTGGAAGGTGAAGTAGAAAGTAGATCACCCAAGGATCAGACACGTGCTAGAACTAGTACAAAGGAGAGGAGGATCAATGTAGCCAGAGAGGAGCAGGACTGTGCCTTTTGATGGCAATGACCTTCTTTGTCCCCTCAGCTGTGCATCCTGTCTGTATCCACTCCCCTCCGGGTTACACAGCACTGGTGTAAAACCAAACTGGCACCAAAGACAGAGGGCTGGCCCCAACAGAAAGCTAACTCACCACAAGCAAGGCAGGGGGATAATTCCATCAGCGACAGCCTTCATTTATGTCAGATTAGTTACACTCATTAAACTGCATTTGAAACTCAGAGCTGAGGCAGCGATGAGCGGGAAAGGTGTGAGGGCGTACAGGGTGGCAACTCCTGCTGGTAACCTGCCACGGTTAGTGAAAACTTTCACCCCAAACTTTGCATGTTTAAACGCAGGAATGTCCAACATTAACACTGCAAAAAGGATACAAATGTCTCAGTGATCCAAGAAATGCAAAAAAGTGGTTGCCCTCAGTGTGACATGAGGTCACTGGAGCTATCGGGGTTCATTCCGATCTAACGGGAAAAAGGAAACGATGTGGGAGAAAGGAATGTTTGACCTGTAGCTTTACAAGCTTGGTATTTAGGCATGTAACTGCATTTTGACTGTGTAAGAATGTGGCTTGTCTAAGTTTAATTTTCTGTTCTTTTTTTTTTCCCTAAAGAATTCTTTCATTTAAAAAACACACAACAGAAGAAGTAAAACAGAGTCTATAAGCAAAAGCAGGAGCCTTTAGCTGGGTTTCTGTTTCTCCAGGTAAGCTCTTACAGCAGGTTTCACTCTGGATAGACTGACAGACAGGAAGAGGAGTTCCTTAGTTTCACTGCCCTTGTTTTTGAAGTAAAGACTTTTTTTCTGCATGTCTGGAACAGGGCGAGACAGAAACTCATCCGAAAAAAGAAATTTAAATAACAGCTGAAGGCACTAAGAGGAATAAGGTAGAAACTCAATTTGCACCATGTGATCAAGTGGGCAAACTTGGTATGTAAAGAAAAATTTCTGCCACCTCCACCATGAAATCTGCCCCAGCACAACAGCTACTGGAGCTGGAATGGAAATTAGACACCAAGCACCTAAAGCTCACTGTTAGACACTTCAATATTTGGGGGTGGCCATGAAACAGGGAATCTTTCTCAACCCTATTTGTCCCTTTCTGAAACCCAGCTACACTCCAAGCTCTTTATTGGCAGTAACATGTAGGAGGGGATTCCCAGAGTGAGTTACTTGTGAGCTAGTGCTTGCTCGCAATGCAGAGGGAAGTGGATATTCCCCCCCACTTCCCAACTCTCCAAAGCTGTAGGGAATTTTCCTCAAAACTTCTCAAAAAATTTCACCACTGGGAAGAAACCAACAGTTAAGTGGTCCCCAGCTGGAAGAAAAAGCTCCAGGGAAGCTTAAAAATACTCCATGGACACAAAGCCGGGCTTGCTGGGTCCCTGCAGTCAGTGCCTACACCATGTCTGCACACAGGGCAGGGAAAGGTCATACTGAGTGACTTCCAGCCACGTTGTCCTATCTAACATCTGTGACTGAGAACATCCTACAATTTGTAGGTAGGTGTGAAGGTGCAATGGCAGGAGAAAAACAAGCCCGTGGGGATACCAGCAGTGCATTCAGATCATAAATCAAAAAGTCTGTGCTGCAATCAAGGCTGTTCTGCCACTTTTCCACTGTGCTGAGACAGCAAGACATCTGTGTCTCCAGCAGCAGATGGCATCTCAGAAGCAGCTTTAAATTACACTGGCATTTCAGTGGGGCATCTCAGGTGAATGCCGGAGAAGCAAAATTCAATTCAAGGGGAAACAAATGGGTCTGCATAGCTCGGACATACATGAAATTCATCTATGAAATACAAACTTCAAATCATCCTTTTTAATAAAGCCCCCCATTAATGCCTTCTACTCCTATGATGTGAAAATTCAGCCTGGCATTCCCTGTATTACTACTCTGCTCACACGGGGTTTACAGAGAGCAGTTGTTTCCATCCCAGCGTGCTCCCTGACCTTTCTGAGTGTTACATCACGGAGCTGTGCCAGCATCAGGGCAGCTGGGCCAAACCAAGGACACAGGCTTTGGGAACCAGCCCTGACCGTGCCTTGATGTGGTCACGAGCAGTCCCACATGGTGGCAGTTCTGTAAATGTTGGCCTTGGTGACTCGCTTAACATCGTGTGGGAAGTCACTGGCAGGACGATGGCAGGTGCCCTTCACTATTTTGCCACAACCAAGTCAGAACTCCCCGTGGTTGACCTAGAGAAGGCATCACCTACAAGCAGCAGTAAAACCTTTAAAACCCATTCATTTGTGGGTACCGCACCAAGTATTTTCAAGTGTCGCTAACGTAGGAACACTGATTTTCAGAGAGAAAAGTTTCAGGGTGTGTATGTGTGCATACAGAGAGAGAAAGGAGGTGCATCAGCTGTCCTGTTCTTATCAGTCTGCCGAGCATCTGCTCCTGCAGCACCAGGACTTCCACAGCCTCCTTGTATGAGATGCATCTAACAATTGTGCTCCAAAACCTGAGATAATGTTTTTAGAATAGCTTGGTTTTCCTCTCCGTCTCCTGCAGAATTTAACTCCAGAATTTTGTAATCAATCAGATTTGGAGAAGTTAGTTTTCTCATAAATAGGATGACCAAATCCTGCTGGCCTATGGCTTTGTGCCTTGTGTTTCCCAGCCCAGGCACATCTCCCCATGTCTCTCAGCCGGCTCCCAAGCTCTTGGTGCCACGATGCTCCTTACAGCTCCCTTGCAGCTGCCTCCTGCCCTTTCTGTCATCTGGGCATGGGGAGGGTTAGCCCAGGTTTTGGCTATTTGGGTGCTGCTCATGGCTAGCCAGTGGCTTCCAAGTAGCAGCCAAGGACCTCTGCATTTCTGCCACCTCTGCCTTCCTGTCAAATTTGGGTGAAATTGGTCAGGGGATTTGAAAGGTAGAAGCAGAGGAGGAATACAAAGAGGGAGAGATGGAAAGCAGGATAAACCATCATTCACTTAGTAAGCCATATCAAAAAAAAGCACTTAGTAAACCATATTAAAAAAAAAGTACCACTGGAGGAGCACCTATTATCTATTATTCTGTTATCGAACTCCTGTTTCTAGTAGTGGATATTTGCAGGCATCAGACTGTATATTCAAGCATTGCCCATCTTTGGCCAAGGAACAAGCATCCTTTTTAGAGAAGATACGTGACAGGCGAATTACCACGTGCTTGTAATTACATTAATAACTTACTACAAGCTCTTAAAATACAGGGAGAGAAGCAGTTCTGCTCATGATAGATCATTGCAATATGGGCAGAATAGTCTGTGCTCGACACATGCTTTGCAAGGACAGAGGTAGGGGAAAGAGTGAGGGGAAGACAGGAGAGGCAAGATCTCAGAGCGGCACTTGAGGTGGTTGCTTTCTTTTCAAGTGAGCTCCGCAATTCACTCCCTGTTAAATTCTCTGTTTTAAGAGAGATTGAAACTTAAAATGAAACCGGGCACCAAGTATCTCCCAGTTTCACAATATCAGCATGAAAAACTCCTAATTTTGCCTCACTTGATTTTTAGTCAAAGCCTCAGTTCTGCCCAGGTTTGCTCTAGAGTATCGTTAGCTGCAGTGAAACACTAAAATTGCCAATAAGCACAATCTGTTTTGCATCCACAATGAACCCCAGCTCAGAAGTCAGTTTTTGTGTGGTTTCAAGGTTAACATTTCACACAGCTGAGAAGACTCATCCCAAGCCTCTTGAGGTCAGGAGGGATCTGTGGGCTCCAGTCAGCTTTGCGGCAGGTCCTCGAAAAAGGATGGGGGGACAGCCCAGGCAGGACTTCAACGGGAATTTGTGTTGTTGGAGAAAGAACTCGCTCTGCACTGCGCTGAGCTGACCGAGAGGTTCAGAGAGCTCTGACCTGCTGCCTTTCCTTATCTTTCCCACCACACACCCACTGTTAACCATCCAAAAAACTGCAGAAACCACTCCACCACGGAAACCGAAGCCCAAGTGGCCGCGCCGTGTGTTCCCCACAGACATCAGCTGCCCCAAAAACACCCTCGTTTCTCTCACCCTGGCTGGGATTGGAGACCAACTTGCCCCTGTGGGAGCTGTCAGGCTGGTGCAACCAGCCTGGGGAGCTGAGAGCTCAGGGATACTCAGCGCTCATGCCGCGGTGAGTAGCGCCGGTCACCCAAACCCTGGCTCAGGCTCAGCCCTGGCAGAAGACACCGGACGCAGTGTCCTGGGGGCTGACTGGCACACGGGTGCTGCTGCCTGCTGGGACCCGATCCCCTCCCGTGCCCCCGCACCGGCCGCTCCTCCTTACCCAAACCAAGGCAGAGCAGCGCCAAGAGCCCCAGCCACGTCCTCAACGCCAGGCACACCATCCTCCTGGAGCTCCTGGGACACGGGGAGAGGGGGACACGGTTAGGAACCACAGCACCCGCCACTGCATCCCTCTCCTTTCCTGCCTGCTGCCTCCCCGAAAAACCACGAGCGCCAGCCCAGCCGGCCCCGCTTCCCTCGCCGGTGCCCCAGGGTACCTCTCAGTTCCTCGGGTGAGCGGCCACCCCCCGGGGCAGGGAAGGGGATCAGCGCCGGGCCATGGGTGCCTGGCTGCTGCCACGGGCTGCCGAAAGGCTCTCTCCCCGCCGGGGTGCAGGGGGAAGTCTGTGCGACGGGCGGGTGCCCATCCTCCTAAGTCACCTCGTCCGCCCACGGCTTCCTCGCAGGGCATGCGTAAGGCTGCGGTGCCGGCCGCCCCCGCCGCCCCGGGGGGGTTCGGGTGTGCCTCCACCCGGGACGATGTCAGGCTGAAAGGCCCTGCTTGTTGACCTGCAAGTGTCGGGCAGCGCCGGCGCTTGGTGGGGCTTTGGAGTTTAGGAACGCAGCTAAAATAAACCCCGGTGGTAACTTCGGGAGTAATCCTGTAAAATTACGTCTGAAATTTAAAAGAATTTCCACCACCATGTCAGGCCCAGCTGGATGTAATCCGTCAAGTACAGTTCCATCAAGAAAATTTAGGGAGGACTGCTTAAGCTGCACGTGATGGCTGCTGTGGCCAAGCACCTGGGCAGGGAGCAGCTGTCGGATGTGCCACCAGGACCAAACAGGCTCTGGAGAGCATCCGCCGGCCCTGGGAGAGGTGGAGGGAGCATTTGCCTTCCCAAATGCTCCCCCCTCCTCCAGAAGGCACTCACTGCTCACCCAAGGCCCCAGCTCTGGATGGGGAAGGGGAAAGACATGGACTATCCCTGCTTTAAAGCCTGGAAGGACAGACCTCACGAACCCAAGTGGCCAAACAAAGCCAGTCTGAAGCAAATCCTGAGCAGAAAAATAAACTGATTGAGAGTAAACAAGAGCCCGAGGGAGTAAATGCATGCTGAGTGACGCAGATCTGTACAGATACTGCACACCCTCCTGCAAAATAAAACAAACCCCCGTATAGTGTAAGGGGTTCTATTTAGCCATAATAATCACAGTGAGAAGGCTGCACACCAATGAAAACCTGGTATTCTTCAAGGAAAAAAATAATAAAGTGCAAATACAAATCAAGATTAAAATAATTTATTTAAATGCAGATTTCTGGTTTGTTGGTTTAAATTACTTTGATTTAAATCAAACGTTTCCTTTTTATCAGGAGTGATTTGCCACTACGATGCTCCTGTTTTTCTTCGGTCTAGATTCCTTGAAACAGATAGATTAGATGGACTGGGTTGTAATACAAATCAGAATTTTATTTGGACATAATTAAAAGGATGGTGTTCCATAGAGAAATCAAATACCAGAATAAAAACGGGTTATAACAATTCTGTAGAGAAAAAAATCATTCTATGTTAAATGGCAGAGAGGAGTTTGCTGTTGAGTCAGTTTGGGACTCTGTGTCTCTCTATCGTCTCTCCACAGTTTCCAGTACATGTGTTTTGTGATTCGGGCTCTGATTTACATCCTGTACCTTTGTACTCTATCCGTGCATTTTCTAACAGCACCGCCCCGTGATGGTTTGCAAATGCAGATGACAGTGGCACCATGTGTTTACATACAAGCGTTTTCACGGTACTCAGAGAAGAAAAAAACTATCATTAACATAGGCATTCCTACCTTGTTTTCCAAAGTCACAGCCCTTGCTCTCAGGCAGGGACTGCCTCTTTGCAAGTCAGATGGGTCCACGAACTTTCTGCTGCTACTCTAATCATGTATCCTTATCATTACAGAGTTACTGGCAGTCCTGTTACAGCTGTATGGTTTATCACCTCACCTTCATTTTAAATTCAAGCTTTTCATAAAATATATATTTCTGCCATTAGCATATAACACCTAGAAGGAAACTCCAGCCTGTTACATCTGAGTCTGCACTTCTTCCTCAGGACTCAACCCTGCTTTCAGATGAGCAGTCCCGGGGAAAGTAATTGAGGTCATCAGCTGCCAGTCTGCAGTAAGGAGGCATCACAACCCCTTCTTACACACTGAGGAGCCTGGACCAGCTAGTCACTTCATTAAGGCTGCCTAAATTTTAGATAGGCAGCTGAACTCATGGATGCTATTCTCAGTTAAAGCTCCTTCTCTTTTTCTAGGTATTGCAGTTCTTGGTGCGTTCTCCTTCGGAGAGCTCCCTGATTGCAAGGAGACTGCAATGACAGAGAGAGGGTAGCAATCGAGTGCTTTGTTCTGCTTTGATCGGAGGCAGAAGTCATAATTTTTCCATCACTTAAAGTTTCCCTAAGCACATACCCTTGATTCTTGGAATCCCTTGGGTTCAAGGGAAGAGGTATTACACATCTTTAGGACGCTAACGAAGTTGCAGGACTCGTACATATTGAGCTCACAGTTCAGAAGACACTGCTTTCTATGAGCACTGCAGGAGGTGATATAAGCCCTCCATTTTAAAGCAAAATCCCCATAGAAATAAGCTTTCTCATGCACTTGAATAAGCCTTCAGCATTTCATCTATCTGTGCTCCAGAAACAGGTTTAAACAGGTAGTATTGCAGCTTGAAAAGGGAAGCTTGGATATAATAAGAAAGAGCCTTTAAATTCTGCTAAAAACATTTCCTGTGGAAAAAGGAAGATGTGAGAGCATCACACACATTACATTTTTCCTTCGCTTTCACAGAAACTGTTAGGGAAAAAGCAGAAAAGACAAGTGAAATCTTGCAGCATATGTGCTGTGTAGGGGAAATAAAGTTCACTAATCAGCACTTGTGGTAGAAATCCTTTGCACTCAAAGGGAAATCTGTTCAAATACATGGCTGCTACATTTATCCTGTAGACCCACTGACACCACCAACTTTTCGTGTGGCAAAGCCGCCGCTGCAGAAATGTGCTTTCAGCGCAGCCAGACATCATTATTTTGAACATTTATTGTTGGGTAGGAGCATACAAAAAACCACAACCTCCCCCTCTTTCCGAATTGACATCTCAGAAAAATATCAGAAAGGTCAGAACTGGATAAATACTGAAAACCAAAACACAGCACCTACTCTCTGTTGAGGATTCATAACCATATACCTTCCTACAGAACTGGGATACCTTTTACTGTTTTCAAGGTGGACAGATATTCCAATCTGTGCTAATCTGAACTAAAAGCACATCCACATGCTTTCAATACAAGGATGTCCAGGTTGAATGGGAAGTGCCCAAGATATGCTTCCAGAGATGTACATCACCAAAAAATGGCTGTGCAAGTGCCCTATAAAACATCTTTGTCAAAGAAATTATCCCATTGCAAAACAGAGTAACATTTTCAGGGAATTATTTTTTTTTTTTTTTAGAATCACAGAATTATGTTGGAAAATTCCTGTAAGGTCATTGAGTCCAGCCACTAACTCAGCACTTCCAATTCCACCACTAAACCATGTTCCTAAACACCATGCCTACACATCTTTTAAATACCTCCAGGGATGGAGACTCCACTGCTTCCCTGGGCAGCCTGTTCCAAGGCTCAATAACCCTTTTGGTGAAGAAATTTTTTCTGATATTCAAACTAAACCTCCCTTAGCACAACTTGAATCCATTTCCTCTTGTCCTGTCAGCATTTTATGGTTTCAGTACCAGCATGTGGAATACAAGGTATGTGGAGTAATGAACTGAATTCAGCTAGTAATACTCATCTGTTTATCAGTGGAATTAAATGACACCTTTTTTAATTTTCCTGTAAGAGAAGGGGTGAAGGCAGCCTTTCAAAAATACTCCCAGCATCCTGAGAAGTTAGGCCTTTCACATAAAGAGAGATTGTCTCTGCACCATATCAATAACAAAATAAAATTACTTTGTGAAGGAAGAGGAAAATCCAACGGTTTCACATTACAGAAAATCCCTTTCATCTTACAATGGAAAATAACAATAACAACCCCCTCACAGCTCAAGAGATTTCTTGTTCTTGCTTTTCCCCCTAGCTGTCCCCAACCTTCAGACTCTAAAACTGGCAAGATCTGAAGAAGTTGAATGCTTCATGTTGGCACAGATTGGAGCCCAAGCATGATGTCGTTTACAGAAAAAAAAAATTTAAAAAAAAAGAAATAATGAAAAAAAAAGAAGAAGAAACTTAAGAAACAAGGACAGATTTCACTCGTGCAACCTACTTTCAGCATGGTAGAACAGATAGCACCAACCCCTCAGAGCTCATGTTCCAGACCCTTCACTGAGAGGTCTCAAAACTAATTTCACCCAAAGATGCTGCTGGGTGATGGCCCACTTCAATAGATTTGGCATTCCACGTGCACTGGTGCTCAGGCACACCGAAGGAGGAGATCTCAGGCAGTGCCCCTAGGCACTATGCTCCTCCACCACCCTGGGCTCGAGGAAGTCATCACTGGACCTGTGAAAGCTGTTTAAACCTGGGAGAAGGGCTCAGAGCCAGTGTTTGCCCCTGAAGAGTGCTCTGGGCTTGGTGCACCGTTGTTCTGCAGCCTATCTGGTGTGATCCATGCTCCAGAGATCAGCAGTCCTCTGGCCCTCAGGAGTGGTTTGTGTGCTGTGGAAGGGCTGAGAGCTCTGCAGCCAGGTAACATCCAAGCTAGCAGACTCTGCTTCCCATTATCTCTCAGCTAATCAATCCCACAGATTCTTTATTTCAGTAATGTGAAGGGGCCAAACTCTGCCCTCTTAAGACCAAGGCAGAGGGCCTCTGCTATCAAAGTGTGCTGGGGATGGGACAAATGCCACAAGATCAGTGCATGGCTGGGACCAGAGTCCAGGCATCCCCAGGACAGGCAGCACTGCTTGGCAGACAATGTGCTTTGGTGACATGGCACATTACAAAGCACAGGTAGCATGTCTGCTGTGCCATGGTATGTCAAGAGTGATGGATAAAGCTTAAAAAAAAAATCTCCTGAACTCAGAAACAGAGAGGGGGAAATGTGGGAAATTAATTCAAGTAATGTAAATGA